AAACACATAGCTAATATCAATTATGCCATTTCAGGAGTTCCATGAGATGAGCCACGGTCTGCTGCTGTGGCTGGAGAACATCGACCGCAGGAGGAATGAGGTGGTGCCTTTCCCCCCCAAACTGGACCGCGAAACACTACGAGCTCATCACAAAACACTGACGGTATGTCTTTGTAACACGAGGTTTGTGAGCAGCAGACTCGCCATTAAACAGTAGCATTAATAAAATGTCTTGTGACAAATACTGATAATCATAAAAACAAATTGCAGTAAAATATGTTAAGAAATATAGAAATAACTCAGCATATAAACATGAAAGCCAAAGAGGTCTTTATTGTCCACATTGCTGACTCCTCTGTCTCTTTCTTGTTCTCCTGCAGAAAATGAGGCGTGAGCTGCTGGACTCGCAGCAGAAGGTATCGTCTCTTCAGGAGCTGTCGGCTCAGCTGCTGGTCAACACCAAACCTCCGACACTGCTGCTGCAGTCGAAGGCCTCGGAGCAGAGCCAGGCTCAGGGCAGCGAGTGTCTGGAGGCCCGGGAGAAGGTGCACGTGATCCTGAACAGGCTGAGACTGCTCCTCAGGGAGGTCAGCTCAGACCTCCAGGAGCTGGAGAGGAGACTGGAGACCACGGACACACGGCAGGTCAGACAAATGCTGAATATAGAGCGAATGAACGAGGGGTCGCTTTATCTTGAAAATACCAAAGCTTCCTCTCAATTTGGACTATTTTTAGATCTAAACGTTAGGGTGACTGTTGTTGTTTTGGTTTATTTTTCAGGATTGCGTACCGTTGCCTGTTGGCAAATCAGAAATCTGTGGATCAGCTGGTCCTGAGTCAGAGGTGACTGTCCAAAGTCGCAAGCGATCGGTAATGTTTCCCCTCATGATGCTCCCCTCTGGCTAGCCTCCATAAAATAACATCACAGTCAACTTACTTCCTTATTCTCACTTGACTACCCCTTTATTTTTATTGATAATATTAAAGTTTTCCCTTTTTCAATTGCTGTACTGCTGCCCCTCCCCCAGCCCTCCCTTTTTTGAGATGTTTTTGCTGCCCACACCGTGTTGATCTGCCAAAAATGTACAAGAAAACCTGGCTTTTCGTTTTCACATGATACAACTGTTCTGTAGTAGCTTAGTTCAGCTCTCATTTTGGAATTCATGTCTGAAAGAAATTACATTTTTTTCTGTTATAACTATTTAACTTAATGATTCAAGCGTATTTAATTCTGTTCGTTTTGTTTGACTTGAACTAATTTAGTCTAGAGAAGCCAGATTTCTTGGTTCTGAAAGTCAATCACCGCCATTGATTATGTTGCTGCTCTTTTGTTGTTAATGATTCCTTCTCGAGCGATGTTATGGCTCTTTGTGTTATTTGTTTTTGCTCTCATCTGAGGCTTTGTCTGCATTTGCCCTTGACTGAAACATTCTTTTCTTTCTTTTACCCCTCCCTGCTCATTACGTGGTACAGCCTCGAGGCAAAAGTAGTCAGGCCCACCCAGGACACCCTAAGAGCGGCCCGCGCCACAGGTACCCTCTCTCCTGGACTCTAGAAACACGGGACGATGATGGAACCAAAGCTATGCCCAGAAACCTGATTTCTATTCAATCAATCCATGACAAAATCATTTAATCACATTAAGCTGTGTTTTACTCATTGCAAAATATACGAGATTATGAGATCATTTCGATTTTTGGCTTCTTTAATTGATTGTTTTCCGGGCTTTAACCCTGCGTTCCATGATCCTCCCTTATTCTAGAGAACATGTTATCAGCTCTTAAACGAGTGGGGAATCGCCTACATCAGGCCGCTCCCTTTCTCCTTTAAATGTTTTACTTCACTACATCTCTTTGCTGCTTTTTGAATGGCATCATGAAATGTTGCCGTGTCGTACTTTTTGTCTTTCCTCTGTGAGTGACTGTAGCACTCTCCTCCACTAGATGTCATTGTCTGAATCCTGGTGACCCCTCAGCCCTTGTTCCTTTAGCTCTGTTTTTCTTTCTTCTTGTTTCCTTCCTGTTTTATTCTCGTCATAGTTGAAAGGAGGATATGATCCGATAACTCCTGCTTTGTGTTCCCCTTCTACCTTAACTCCCACCTTGTTTCCTTTCCAGACATCTTAACTCACCCACCTCTGACTCTCTGTCATTTCTGATCTAACTTTCTATGATTTTAAATAAACAACAACAACACAAAGGCCTGGTGAAGACTCGGCCTAAACAAGTCTTGCCATAAGTGTTCTCCTTTACACACTCTTTATCTAACATGAATGGGGCTTTTGGAAACAAGACAGGAGGGGTTACCGTGAGCTACATATATGAACACACACACACACACAGTGTACATGTTGCTCATGCGTGCTTACAGCAGCGGTATTGTAGCATCCAGGAGGACTAAATAGTATTGGAAGGCTAGAGAGGCTCTTCGAGGAAGAGTTGCAGTAAGAACATGCTGTGACTTCCCTCGAGTCTTGGCTCTAACCGTGGAAATCTGCAGAGAGGCATTTGCCATTTCTCCTTCCTCTGTTTGGAATGAGACGTGGCATTGAACTCTTACACACTCGTCTCACTGGGAGTGTCCCCCCCCCCATCCAGCCGGCTGTCTACGAGTGTTTGTGGTCTTCTTAGTGTGTTTGTGCCTGTTTTGTGTGTGTGTGTGTGTGTGTGTGTGTGTGTGTGTGTGTGTGTATGCAGGTCTACTGTACACGTCTCTGTGTTCAACTCTGTGACTCTCTCAATCTGTCTGACGGTTGAATCTGGTTCTATTTGCTGCATTTTTACTTTCCTTCCTGCCGAGTGTATGTTGAGTCTTCGTTCGTTTGTCAGACGTGGGTAAAGTAGTATTTGCAAACACGTTTGTTTTAGCCTATTTGAATTGCCAGATTTATTGCAACTACAGATTATTTTTCTATATACGATACAAAGAGAAGTTCATTTTTTATAGAGTACTATTCAATGAAATTCGCTAAAAAAAATATTTTGACGTAAAATAATGACTTTTTAAAGACAAACTACACAATGCCTTTACAATGACTTTTTATGACATTTATGATATTCTATAATGTGACTTTTTATGACAATGACATACTATACTATTACTTTTTAATGATTTGTTTTACTTTAAATACTATGACTTTAATGAGACATGCTATACGAGGACTATGACATTTTTATGGGTTACATACAATACATGACTTTTTGTAACACACACACTATACTATGACTTTTTATGACAAAATATTTGATAATCAATTAATCCGACATTTATTTTGTCCGTTACTTGTTTGGTCCATTAATTGTCAGAAATGATGAAAAATTCCACAATTCTCTAAACTATTCTACAGTGTCATGTTTTTAAAAACATGCTTTTTTCCAGCAAACAGTTAAAAACCCGAAAACATTTTATTTATGAATGAAAAACTTCCATTCTCACATTTTAAATGCTGAACTTTTTTGCTTTAATATTACAAAAACCTTTAAAAAAACAATACCATTTTGACTTAACGTGATTTGCACATACTAGTGAACTCAGGTCTGTTCTCTGCTGTGTTTAACTAAACTCTGTGTCTTCCGGCAGCCGGAGCAGATCACCAGGCGCCGCTGGCTGCGTTTCCTCCCGTTCTGACCTTCAGGATGACGTCTCCTCCTCCTCCTCCTCCTCTTCCTCAAAAGGCCAGTCCTTCCTGCTGCGGGTCCTCAGGGCTGCGCTTCCCGTCCAGCTGATCCTTCTGCTCTTGATCGGCCTGGCCTGCCTGGTGCCCATGACCGAGGAGGACTACAGCTGCCACCACGCCAACAACTTTGCCCGCTCCTTCCACCCCATGTTGCGCTACACCAATGGACCTCCGCCCATATGAGAAGTAGCTGAATCTCTACCTACTGCTTTGCCAAGGACTCCACTGAATGTTTCCTCTTCACCTAGTGCCCGAAAGCAACAAACTCTTCCCCTGCTGGGGCGCTATCATGCTTTATGAAGACTTCTCTCCGTTATATTGCACACCCACTCTCCTGAAATCACCTCAACCCTTTAAGTCCACTCTTCAGTGTATATATATGGCCCTTCATTTGGAGAACCCCTCTCCGATATTTCCTGTTTTAACCCAAATGTGTATATTATTTTGTAAGGTTTATGAAGAAACCTGAGAAATCAAAGCACTATTTATATACTGTACGTTGGGAGCCAAAGTCGACCGTGCTTTTTAGTCCATGATATCCAGTGCTGCTACTATTTATTTAGCGTTCAATCAGTTTAATAGATTGTTAGTATTGATTAAGCTAAAGAACCCCCTTGAGTGTGGGATATTGTACCTGTACATTGTACAGTAGACCTGCAGTTTGAGTAGCAATCATTGAGTCTCTGATGTGAAGTTTATTTCCAACAGACACATTTGAAGAGCTACTCGGACCTATCGACGGAAACCAGCTCAACGGGAGAACTTTCTGAAGGATGAACTTAACGTTTTCTGCTTGAAACATTTTATTGGAAATGTCTTCAAATGGCGGTAAAGATCAAATTTGACCCAATAGCACTGACATGAGCGCTGTCGAGCATACTGCTCTGAAGCCGTCCAGCCAAGATGGCCGACTTCTTTCCCCACTGGCCAAGGCATTTATTCCTGTTTTTAATTTCAGTATTTAATTATTTGGGGCAAATATGAATAAAACGACAGCTCTCAACTGATAAGTATGTTTGTTGAAATGCCTTTGAATACAGGCAGTTATTTTTGTATCTTTGTTTGAGCATGCACTTGAAAGTCCTCCGCTTTTAAGGAAGCCAAACAATCACCGGTAGTGTTTTAGTCAACGGCTGCGACATCAAATAGTGAGCTTTGTAATAACTGCGGATGAGAATCTGTAAAAAATGATGAAATATGAAAATGTTATTTATGTATGTACAGTTTGCTAATGCCGACTTCATGAAGAATACTCTTTGCGAATAATAAAACATGAAATATTTACCTCCGTGTGCTCTTGGGGTTGACTTTGGGATACAAACAATATTTTTCACCATGAATACTTTTATTTTTATGCACAGTAAACAAATGATATGTCAGTTCAGGTTTGACTGGACTTACACTTAACAACTCAAGAGGCCAAATCATTTATGTTTTTGTATTTCATGGAGGCTTTCCATACGTCTCTGTGGCAAGACTCCAGATTTGACTACTTGAAACTACGTCATATTTTTGTTTAGCTTTTTTTTTTTCCCAGCAACATACATTTTGATTGCTTGTATTTGAGTGCTAAAGAGTACAACTTTAACAATAAGTAGTTTTTCAAGCAAAAATGCCAAATAATCGATGGTTGCAGCTTCTCAATTGTGACCTTATCGCGTCCGTATCCGATATTGTCTCAACAATCTGATCAAATTCCGTCCTTTTAAACTGAAGTAAAAACGTTTTGCATATGTGCACATACATTATGAAACATTTTTTGGAGGTGTGTGTAAATCCAGCCAAACTCAACATGTAATCACTGAATTAGTGGATGAACAATAACTGGTTGAAGTTTTGAACTGCATAAAATCAGATTGGAGCCACTCATAGCTCAGTCTCTCTGCCACACAAACACATATTTAAGACAAAGAAAACAACAACAACTTTGGTGCAGGTGAGCATAAAGATTAAACCAACGACACACAAGAAGCTGTGGACAGCGGGACGCTTCTAACAAAGCTCGGCTTCCTTCATTATGTAACCAGTGTTCTTGGATTTGATCCTGCAATTTTTAGCTTTTCAAAATTCAACGGATGTATCCTTCGGCACTGATCATTTCACAATTTCATCATTAGAATAATTTTCTTTCAAAATATATCGAATTTTTAAAATTGTGTGTGAACAGAAAACACAATACCTGATTTTAAGTCATTGACAATATTGTAATTTAAACACAAAATAAATTATAGTTATTTTAACCAGTCTTATCATAGTCAAGTGCATAATCATCCTTATTATGTAAAAGTAAAAATAAAGCCCAATAGCCCCTTAAAGCCCAGAGGAAGTGCACTTTGGTCTAGGCAAACGAAAAAGAATTAGCTGCTCCTCATTTCAAAGCCAACAGAGTGTCACAAAACGACCTCACACCTGCCGTTTGATAATAATAAGCTGGACTCAGAATCACAGATATTATGAAAGGCAGCGTAAAAGATTAACTGCATTGATGCTCATATTGCAGTGAATTGGAGTAGTGCAAAGGAAAAATATAAAGCTACAACTATAAAATCACTTAATTTATAAATAATTATCTCATGAAATGAATTAAAATAAAACGATGGTATATCATTCCCGAGCCCCTCTCATTGTGTACTACACATATCTATGACCTGCAGATGATGCTTGCTGTGCTCTGGCTCATAGGATGTGGGTGCAATCAGAATGGGACCCTCCATACTGCAGGACTGTGGGGGCTCTGCTCGGGCTGTCATGGCTGACTCTGGGTCCTGAACTGGAACCGCCTGAAGAGATGTTGTCGCTGGTGGTGCAGAGAATCTCTCCGTCAGCGGGGAACCACGGCTCACCTGGTTTGTCTGGGCGGTGGAGGCGGTGAGCGTCCAGCATCTCGAGCAGCAGGTCGTACAGAGGCACTTTGTTCTTGCACTTCATGCTGTAGAGATGCTCCATGCCTTTGTTGCTGCAGAGAGTAAAAAAAAAGGGAGATGAGGAAATACGCGGTTTAGGAATCAGACAGTTAATGGGGGAAGCTAGTTTCAACAACCCATGAAAGATAGTAGTGTGTCATAAATATGTCATAAAAAAGTCATAGTATAGTATGTCATTACAAATGTCATCTTATAGAATATAATGAAAATTTCATAAAAAATGTATGTAGTATGGTATGTCAAAAAGACATTAAATATCATAGTATATATATATATAGCCCACTATATAGTGAGCGCGCCATTTTTTAGTGCTGTCCGAATGTGTAGGGAGAATTATTTTACCCAATATAGTGGACACCAAAGTATCCCACAATGCATCGTGACAAGTAGTGTTCAATCCATGGTCACTCACCTAGCTTAAAACATGTGTTTTTTACGGATGGTCCACTGGCTGACGTTCATCTGGCACGTTTTAATTGTGCGATAGCAATGACATAATCAGCGGCGAGAGGCAATGACGCGAGTAGTGTCCGAGTGTGTTTCTACCATTTTGCCGTAAAACCCCAAACATAGTCCACTATACACAGTCCTCTACATAGAACTCCCTGGATAGTGAGTAGGGAGTAGTGAATGAGTGACTGATTTCAGACACAACCATGGTTAAATGGCAAGAACTCATCAGTGAACAGGAATAAGTTTAAAAGTCTGGAGATGAGACAGATCATCTGCCTGCCTAAAAAGAGCCCAAATCCTTTTAAAGCATTCATCTTTCAAGCTCCTACCACTTCAAAGAACCACTGTGGATTACTGAAGCATGATTCTCATCACAATATGTTGAAAACTAGACCGTTAACACGGTAACAACAAAAGAGACATTTTTATAATTTAATTTCACCTCATGTGTCTGATGTGGGAGAGCAGGAGGAGCAGCTGGGCCTGCCGTCTCGACTGCTGCTGAACCGAGCAGCCCGATTGGCCGATATGATGTATGAGAGTGTCTGTGATGGTGTCCAGCATGTGCTGAACTGCTGCGGTGTCGTGGAGGGGCTCCATCGTGGCTGTGCAGAAAGAGAAGGCGCCTGACAAGAGAAAAAAAAAACGTAATTTGTTAAGTTAATGGACCTTTCTGTTCTTAAAAAGAGACTTCATCAGGAGTAATAACATCTCATAGAGACATGCTCAAGTGAAAAAACTCAACTTGCAACCATTTCAAGCTAAAAACAAGTAAAAGATCTGACTCACACATGGATATAAGAGCAGAGCATTAATTACAGATGCAGTATTGCCCACGCAGCAATCAAACATTCATCTGGCTCTAGCAGCTGTACCAGTTGTGTCATCCCGTTGGTATTTCGGTCTACTCGGTTTCCCTTACAGAATATCTCAATCTCCGGGACAAACACGGGCCTCTTGTTGCCTCATATTGTCATGGGAACATTTATCCGGTGTATTGAGGGTACAGGCCTTTTCCAGAACACTCTGTTCGCCTAATGTGCCCGAGCAGAGTTCAGAGCTACACCTCTGTGGATGTAGTTTGACACGGTTCAATATTTAGTGGTGTGGGATTACAAAATCACAGTAGAGAGCCTTTGTTTTTATTAGGGACGTGTCTCTGCTGTCCGATTGTAGAGCTTCAGCCTCACCTGAGTTAAGCAAGATGATCGCTTTGAGACAGACAAACTCCTCAGGTTTGAGTTTGAGCAAGCGGAAGCGGGAAGTAGTGGCCAACAGCATGTCAAAGATCTCAGCCATGCCTTCGACACAGTCGCCTTCGTTCCTGGAGAGCAGAATGAAAGAGAACACGGCAGAATGATTTTATTTCTCTTTTCTTTTTGTATTAAAAATCACGGAAATGTACACAAAAAACAGAGCCCAACATCTGAGCTGCAGCGCACCACGAAACTATCCAAAGAGGGGCCAGATAAACAACTAATGGACCGAATGACTGCAACGCTCCAGTTGTCAGCACGGTTGAAGAGTGACAGAAAGATGTCCAGTGGCTGGAGTGCGAGATTCAACTTGGACAGCCAAGAGAATGCATCAACCCTGACCCACAGCGGTTCAGTCATCATGTGAGGACACTCAAACAGGGACCAGGTTGTAGAGATGATACTCTGTAACACACTTTTGAATCAAATGG